ATGACACTTGGGATTGAGCTTTACTGAGGGAAAGGGATTCTGAGGAGGCTTGTCAACAATTTTTGTTCTCCCTGGCGCTTCTGCGCTCTCTTGGGCTTGGTCCTAGTGTCATCTACCAGCGGTTTTGATTGCCCTGTTTTGAATGTCCTCCCAAGGACATGAGCGCAATTCCGGCGAATTCCTGGAAAATTCTATGTTTTCAGTGGCAAATCCACATATAGCATGCTGCTAACACACTATTATAATTCAATGTGTTAGGTTTTTCCTGAAAAAATGTGGTTTTCGACAATTCATGCTTTTCTAAGATATTTCGACAGAAAGGTTCCTTTTGAAGTCTGCTTTTAGCAAAACTACGAATCTCCTTTCTTTCATTGATTATTGAGCTTCCGCACACCAGTACCTGGATCACAAATACCACGATATTTTTCCTAAACGGGTCCATTCAACGCCGCTCTGGCGCTACAACTTTTTCCCCAGTTTTCGGTAAAACCTGCATGTGAGAATTACTGCGTATTCCTGGTAATAAACATAAACCTGGACACTGGCGTTATTTGTAGCAATTCTGGAAGCACCAACTTGAAATGTGATAATTTTTTCACTGCAAGGAGTTGAACTTTTGACCATTCCTTTGCAGTTTTCGGCTTCAAGAGGCTGCTCAGGGTGAACCTTGGTTTTGTGGCCCACAGAGGCTCCTACAATGGCCAAATCACCAATTTGAAAAGCGCTCTACATCTGATCGACTTGATACAAAGCTGAAATTGCTCAGGGATAGTATCACTCTGGCAGTTTGGTGGCGCTCGCAGCACTGATGCGCTCAGACTTTTGAGACCTGGGAACCTAATACAGTAATAATGTCTAGCCAGTACGCCGACCAGATGCTTTAGAAACGGCACCCCTGCAACCAAAAGAAGAGGAGCAGTGGGACTTGATTATCACTGTCAAGCCACATGACGCAAAGTACTTCTGCAAGAACTCATCGAATCCGCTTCTGAAACTGTGCTTCACACACGCTAGATCTCTGTCATAAACATCCACGTTTTCGAAAAGTTTCAGGCTGAAAAACGCTCTGAAAACTGGAGAGAGGTGTAGACGATCGTCGACCACTTCTTCTCCTCATGCGGCCTTCACTGCTATGATAAGAGATTAGTTTTGGGCGCTATCGCAAGAAATGGGGGCATCGTGGAGGCAATGCACTCAGAACCGCTTAAATCATAACCTATTTTTTAAAAACAGGACTAAGCCGAACTAAGGGGTAGGAGAGTCTCTAGAATGATGAGCAACTTCGTTGGCCTTGCGCTTCCTGTCCCCTCCTAGGTTAGTGCTAGAGCACGCTCCTGCATGTTGTGATAGCGCCTACTTTTCTGTTTCGTTGATAGAACTACATAGTTTCCAGTGGTTTCTGTCATGACTGAAAAGGCTCAGTTCGAACTTCTTGAAGGTAAACAGCAGTTATGACCATAATTTCTCTCAGGTGTTATGAAGGGGTACCCGACAGGAGGCCCGTCGCGCGGCAAGAAGGCAGAGTCAGCGGACGAGTCGCAGCGTGATGTGCGATGTAGGACGTGCAATGGACATTCTTAACTTGACGCGAAATCACTACAGTACGCGCTGCGACTCGTCCGCTGACTCTGCCTTCTTGCCGCGCGACGGACCTCCTGTCGGGTGCCCGTTATGAAGGGATATCCTTTATCCTAATCTATCTTATAAATGGCAACAGTTAACGATGAATAACCTAGCATTCGTTCATGAGAGAAGTTTTAGCGCCTCATTCCATCAACTACAAACATACCCAGGCCGTCTAGCCATTTCACGACTGTCTGCTTGACGCTCTGATAACACTTTGGACCGTTCAGGTGGACTCGTCACCGTCTGATAGATAACAAAGCGGCACAATGATGGCGTCTCCGATACGCTGCAAAGGTAATACTCGAAACTGAATCGAAAAAAAAAACAATTATATCGAATAGATCTGGGAGGTTTTCTACATCTTCTCGAGTATGGAGGTTCTATGCATGGAGATTAGGGATTAGGGACGGTAGTAATGGTCTGAGCTGCTAGCTGCTACATATGTGACCATGCGCTCCTGTCAATCTGCTGAAGGCTTACTTTAGATGTGTCCTAGAACGTGGAGGACCTATTGAACCCCAAAGAAACCCCAAACCTCCAAAGATGCCCCATCAGAAGAGCCCAAGTGAGTTCGAAATCACTTGGAAAGTAGGGACGATCCCATCAAGGGCTGTAGGGACAGGCAGCTTCTTGAAAACTAAGGGCCGTGGCGGCAGAGAAAGAGAAACAGTGCTGACATTCTTAAACTGTGACCAAGGAACTTTTAGATATGGCACATTCAAAACTCGAAAAAAAAGAATTATGTGGGTCACAGCAAAGGTGATGAAAGAAAAAGGAACCCTTTGGCATGTTAGAAATCAGCTGTCTTTCCTTTAATGTGAGGTCTCACGAGAACGTAGAATGGTGCAAGAACAAGCCAATACCGAATTGAAAAATCGGCCTTGGGCACGGGTCTCAGGTCTGGGTCCTTTCCTTGCAATTAGCAAGTGAGCTTCGAGAGAATTTGGTTACCTGCAATCAGATATTGACTCTACGGAGTTGAGAGTGAGAGAGCCACCCAGCCAAAGTCATGGAACTCCACACACTTTTCTTGTAACATATGATCTGAAATATTTAACCTGAGGTGCTGTTTCTGCTTTAGAGCAATTCTGCCCATCGGTAGTGTTCCCTTACTACCCTGAGGTTGTTTGTGGACTTTTCACCTGTGTTTTCTTAAGCGCAAGTTCTATGTGCGCAAGCTGGGGTGAACGTCCGCACGTTTGCTTGCGTACTGTAGTATGGAGTATGCCGGAATGACTGCGTCTGTTTCAGGAAATGCCGTAGAGTACAGCAAATGCCTTTTCTGGTTCCTCGGAAGACCTGGATTGAGAATTCAGGTCTAGTAAGCTCGAATCCAGACCGGAGTTAGGAAAGCAGGTGGATGAGATTGGAGGCGGACCCAGTGTAGTACGCACAGTGGCAGAACCCTAAGCAAAGTGTCATGGCTCCACGAGTTTCATTGCCTATTTGCGGTATCCTCAATATACAACTACATAAGGACAAATTCACAGAGTCCCTTCGAAAAGTTTCGGAATTTCAAAAAAAAAAAAACGTGAGCGAATGGAGCGGACCTCACAACCCAACTGGTCACGGCTTAACACCCCGAGCATACTACAAAGTCGTTACTTCCTTTGTGTTATCAGCAGACGATTTAGTGATTTATCGGCGTCAAGGTCTGCTCAGCCATAGTTATTTCACCGCAGTAAAGCAAGCTTCAGTAAAAGCACTGTATCTGATATGTTATCAGTGTTGGTATAAAATGTGTTGGCGCGAATCGGATGGCAGCTTGGGATTGCACTAGTGCGATCTCTGCATCAAGAAGTGTTGGTTCCGCGTATCGCTTCTCGCTTTCCTACACAATAATCGTATTCTCACTTAAAACTTCAATTTTTTTTTTTGTGACATTTAACTCGAACCTGGCTTTGAGACGACGATTCACTCAATTAAGCGTGGTCTCACCTTAGACCTTCAAAATACGAGAATTATACTCGCGAGCCTTTTTTTGTCACCTCACGCGATTAATATAGAAATAACATAATATGCCAATATGAGGGGGAGGATCGGGGGGAGCGAATTTATTGACAATGGCTCCGCTTAACTACGCACTGTCGCGGACTCGAATCCTCGGTTGTACACCGCGTCTAGGCAAGACTAAAAGGCTTGCCCATTAATTCGATCTCAATGTACCATACTTTTGGGTTAAAAAAAGCACACACTTTCGTGGCTTTGCTTTATCATTTTCGCGTAAACCATTTGCATCAACCGTTGCCACTACGGTCCAGGTGTTAGAGTCGTGCGCAATCAAAAAAGATGGAATAATTTTGAATGTTATGTCTTTCTTACCTCAAAGAGAGCATCTGACCACTCATACGCACGAAAGAATCTCGTTTAGCCCACCGTGTAAGTTAGAGCGTCGTACGCCGGTGGCGATAGCAGGAGAGAGAGCACACACATGGCAGCAACTCGGCCAGTCGCGCTTCCTCCCTCACTTTAATGGTGAGAGAGGGGTGCTCGACAGGAATAGGAATATGTAAGACGTACAATGGTACATTCTATTTCGTCTTGACGCGAAATCACTACACTACTGCGCCGCGGCTCGTCCGCTGACTATGCCTTCTTGTCGCGCGACGGGCCTCCTGTCGGGTACCCGGTTAGAGATTAAGACCTTCGTGAAAGGCTTCATCGCACTTGCTCGTTTCTTTTTGCATTTTCAGTCACAGTGTAATCCACAAGTTCATTAGCCAGCCACTTTCTAAACCTCCACGCAGATTGAATCTGGGTCAATTGCTTTAGACTTTCATGTGCTTTAGCACTCCGATGTACGATTCCCCTCAGACTGCAATATCTTAATCCGCACTGACGTAAGTTTAGCCTGAAGCCAAACGCTCAATACTTCTCGTCGATTTGGCTGGAACTCACCATTTTGACTCAAACCCGAAATTGATGTCTGATCTATATTAAAAAAACATCTGCCAAGGAAGTACATTAAAGGAATCTTCCGCGGAAAAAGCTCCGCCTCCATTACCACAGAAAAACGCTTAGGCCCTTAGCCTCATGAGCATAGCAAAAAGAACGGAACATAAGCGTTAGTTTCGATAATACTAATCCTACACACAAGACAAAATGATCACTCTTTCCGTGGAAGATTCCTTTAAGGTATCGTTTTCTGTGGTAATGAGGGCGGAGCTTTTTCCGTGGAAGATTCCTTTAAGACCGTCCAGAACATTTATGTGATTTGTTTGGAAAGCAAATAACCCTGAAGAAAGTCGTTGTGCGCTCTGTATTGTGTGGAATACGACCTCCATGCACACTATCTTCCAATTGTGTTAACTGTGCAGTTGTCTTAGATTCGTATAGTCCAGTATTTCCGAAGCAATTTCCACCTTCTCCAGAAGATGTCTCTATACGTGGACGTGCACGACTCAATGCAGAATGAGCGCCTTCACATCAGAGCAACCAATCTCGCACCAAACGGCATCTACAAACTCGTGCTAAGGTTGGTCTAAGTGTACCTTATGAGCAGTTGGTAGAGCCAATTTTTACAGTATTACCTAGTAGTACTCGGTGTGCAAGAAGCTGGTGTGTCTCCTGAACATCTTTTCCACTCCTCTGAATGTGTTGTAGTGAAAGAAACTTTGCTCTGCTCTCGATCATTTGAAGTTGTGGAATGGTTGAAAATTCCGGATTTTCTTGAAAATTTTCTTCGCTCCCAATCGAAGTACACTGAAGCACTTAGAAATCTCGAACGTTAATTGCTAACTATTACTTCCCTCAAAATTGCTAACTAGTTACTTCCCTCAAAATTGCTAACTATTACTTCCTGTGTCGTTTGTGTCCCTTACCTATGCGAGAAAATCAGGAAAAAACAGGCTTTTCTAATTCAGGCTCAAACACAAATTCGGGACTCACATGTCCTATGCGGTCTTCAAAGCAGACTCGGCCGGTGAGATAGACCTTCCGACAGCGACACCGCTGAGAGGATCCTACAGCGGTTAGTCGAAAATTTTAGCGATCTACCACGGATTTTGAGCAGCGCTGACTATCCATGTCCAGTGCTGGTGGAAACCTAGAAGGTGCGTCTGTCGAAGGTTGGGTGTCACAACAGTGAAATAAGTACGGGGAGACAATCGGAAGGACGGGTTCAGTAAAAAAAAACGAAAATCTTATCTCATCAGTGTCAGACAATGTCAATGTTCAGAAGCTGATCCGATGGGACTCTTCATGAGCGTCGAGCCATGCGAGGATTTTCCATTTGGTATTCTATTTAAGATGCACTCCACCGCTACCGTTTGTCTACAATTTGATGTGAGTCGAAAGAACGGCTTTTATGCTGCCTTTTTCAATAAACTTATTATAATGGTGAAAATATAATATTATTAATAAAATTGTTAAGGTCCTGTTTGACTCCGGGCCGTCCGTGACACTAGCGATGGTGGCCGATCAAAAAGCACTGGATGGATCCCTAACTATATAAAACGACATCGAAATCGAGAGGACGCGTTTTTGCCGGAGACTTTGTTCAAAGCCACCTGGTTGGTTATCGAATTTTGCTATATCAGCTTGGTATATTATGCTTAATGGCTGTGTCGTATTATTGCTAATAGTGGGTTTTGGATTTATGATTTATTTTTATTCGTAATAACTTCGTATAGCCTTCATTTAGTACAACATTTATGATTTATGATTTATGATTTATTATCGGTGTTTAATACAATCAACAAGTAGAACATAGTTAATAACAATTAACCGATAGAATAATCGAAGAGAAGAAAAAAAATTGAAGTAAATTAAAACCTAAGCAGTTCTGAGGGGGAGAAGGAGAAGGGAGGAGGTGGAACACTTGGCTTCGAAGAGCAGTGGCCCGCCAACACTGCAAGTCGCGAGAGTGATATGCGGCTCCGGATACCAGCTTAGTAGGTCCGTCAACTCTGCCAAGGTCCACCTAATGACGACGGGGTTGAATAATTATTACTGGCACTCAGAATCAAGGGCTACTCAATGTATACAATCCATTGCGTATAGCATAACAAAATTCATAAAGAAACCTAATGTTAGCAACAAAATACATTCGGTTCACCAGAGTTGCGTGCATAGGAGGGGATCAGCAATCAAAAGAGGAGAAAAAGAGGTAGATGCTGTAAGGAATTGTTCTCAAGAACAGTTACCTACAACACTTTTCACAATCCTGCAACTGTTCCTGAGCTAGAAACCCATCTGACAACGAAATCAGATCTAGTGCCAGCCCTGATTTTTGAGTATTCGGCTTATCCTTTTTTTAAAGGACGTAGATGTCATTGAGCCTACTACTTCGGCTGGTAAGCTGTTCCAAAATGAGATAACTCTCTGCGAAAAGCTATTTTTATACATTGATGAATGAGCCTTCTCTTTAAGAGCTTGAAGCAATGCCCTCGTGTCCTTCCTATAGTTGCAGACTTCTTAAAAAGCAGATCGAAATCTATATCAATCTCCCCTTTGGAAAGTTTGTAAACAGCGTCATAATCCATAACCTTTCTCCTCATCTCAAGCGTTGTCGCCCCTAGATAACTGAGCCGATCTTCATATTGAATGTGGAAAAGACCCGCTCTTGCAAAAATCCTCTCTGTGAATTTGACCTGAACTTGTTCTATTTGGCCAACTAGCACCTGAGTATATGGCGACCATATTGGCGCACAGTACTCCAAAGAGGCCTAGCGTAAGCTGTGTAAAGTGCGAAAAGAGTTTTTATATGCCTGCTGGAGAAGGCGCGAAGGATGAGGTTGCAGCGCGATCTGGCTGAATTTATAATGCCTTTTACGTATTCATCAAAAGATAGTGATCTGTCATACTTTAGGCCAAGATCCCTTATAAGCTGGGGCTCTGCAATTGGGGAGCTGCCCAGTAAGAATTTGCTGCAATCGGAAACAGATCCTATTTTCATAATGTAAGATTTTTCAGCAGATATTTTCAAACCCCATACGGTTGACCACCGCTGCAAAGCATCTAAAGAAAGCTGCAGGTTATGCGGCTCATCAATGCAAAACAACTTAACATCATCCGCATACATAGTGCAGTTAACTGATTCAGGCAAGTATTGCGGAAGGTCATTTATGTACATAAGGAACATCAGCGGCCCCAAACATGTGCCCTGAGGCACTCCGCTAGGTGTTTCATAAGGTTCTGAAAGAGCTGCGTTGATCTTCACTACTTGCTTTCTAGAGGACAAAAATGACACTAGAAACCTTCAGTAGCGCACCTGAAATTCCGTATATTTTTAACTTAGAAAACAAAGATTCAGCGGAACTGAATCAAATGCCTTCTTGAAATCAATATATGCGACGAAGACAGATTTCTTCCTATCAAGTGCTTTTTGCCACAGTGGGATAGTAGCCATTAGGGCACTGAAACACGACTTGTTAGGGCAGAAATCCGTGCTGGCATTTAGATATGAGGCGATTCTGAGCGAGGTATTCCTTAATGCGAGAGCATACAATTCTTTCCATTACTTTACTGACACAAGAGGTCAAACAAATAGGCCTGTAATTCCGATAATCCGTTTTAGAGCCTTTCTTGTGGATGGGCTTAACCCATCCCAGGCGCCAAATCTCTGGGACATCACCTTTCAGAAGAATTCTGTTAAACAAAATAGTCAAGGGCGCGGTAAGCCCTAAGGCAGCTTTACGGAGAAAAATATAAGGCAGCATATCCGGCGAAGTAGAGGACCGTAAAGGTAATTTCTTCAGTGCTCGGTAAACGTCCTCGCTATTGATGTCAATCCAGTCGAGAGTGCAATCATTATGAGTAGGTTCGAAAGATATTTTCTGTCAAATTCGAGCTATAAGAATGTTCGAAAGTAGTTCCGCGAAAGATTTTGGCTTTATCGGAATCGAGAGTACACTCCTCGTTGTTTTCATTCATAATTATGCCTATGCTTGAAGTATCCTTCAGCCTAGTAGAACAGTACTTCCAAAATCTTTTAGGATTTTTGGATAGGCTACTTTTGTTTCATATCTCTCTTTGATTTTTTCTAGTTTCCTCTTCAGCGTTCTGACAGCCTTCAAATAGTCCGAGTTTCGAAGTCCTAAACCGTTTCTGTACAGTCGTGCTACACGTTTTTTCAAAAATGAAATCTGGTAAGGTTCTTTCCTCGAACATGACTTGCTCGGAAGCAAGGGCACGAATTCCTTTATCAGACCATGACAGAAACCAGACAACGCATCGTAGCATTGGCTGGAGTTCTCGAAAGAGTCGAAAATATTTTGCCAGTTGACAGCAACTAGTTGTTTACAAATGTTTTCGTAATCTCCATGGCCAAAATCTTTCAGCGCTTTGGCGCGGAAAGTACAAGGCTTAACACCCACCAATGTGAATGAGACAGAAGCATGGTCGGATGTAGAGAATGGGGGCCCTACTGCTACATTGGCAAGGAGAGCAGAGTGATTCGAGAAAACTAGGTCAAGTATATTTTTATCATGTGTTGGGGAACTAACATACTGTGAAAAGTTGTGCGATTTTGCAAAGTTGTAGAGGAGCGTGCCCATAGTACAGTTTGGTACCTTGGTGTCAGGAATATGAGGAGATCCCCAAGAAATGCCGGGAAGATTAAAATCTCCAACGATTATTACGGGGGTGCTTCCTTGGCTTAATTCCTCCAAGTAATCAATAAAAGATCGGAAGTCGTCAACTGTGGAAGAAGGACTGCGGTACGAAACAATCACAATGACGTTCAAGGTGGCTTCGGTAATTCGAAAAGCAAGGCACTGAATGTAAGGCGAGAAATTCAAGGCGGATATCATGACTGAAGAAATGGAATTGTGAAGGAGAGCGAGGACCCCACCTCCCATCATGTCACCCTCACGATCACAGCGAAAAATTCTGTAAGGGAGATTTGCACAGATAGTGGAGTCATGTATAAGATGGGGTTTGCACCATGACTCAGTGATGAAGATTCCTTTGGGGTTGGATAATAAGAGGTCATAGAGCTCGGGTAATTTATTGTTTACTGAACGCGCATTGATCAAAATAAAACAATCGCGAAAATCAGGGGGCTGTCTCGTAGGTTTGGTATCCAGATGGGGAAGGGCCTGATCCTAGAAGCTAGGGCCTGGAAGTGAATGCCTGCTCTCAGTGCTGAGAGAATCAGAATCCCGTCGCATCGAAATCGTCCCCTGAGAGGCGGGGCCGAAGTCCAACTGCATCTTTCGCTGGATTTCAGACGTCACTTTAGAAGGGATGGCGGATCGAACAGGTAGCTCTCTTGGATTTCTGAGTTCGTGGATTTCCAAGTCACGTACCAAGAAAGCGAGCTTCCCAGCTTTCTTGTTTAACTCTCCAGCTTGCTTCCTCAGACTCCTATCAAGGCGCAGTTCTTCCTCAGTATAATCGCGACGGGCATAAGAATGGACGAACTTTTTTGTGAGGCTTTGTCTTCCGGACCTCATGTGGGCGAGCAGTCGGTCTTTCAGACTCTTGCTTGGGAGATCAATTTTTATTATCCAGACCTCTACCACCGACTCCTCTAGGCTGGCCTTTCGGGTATCGATGGAGAGTGATGGTTCCCTTCAGTGAACTCCGATGCCAACTCATCATCACCTGAAGTTTCTATGACCTCCTTCAGCGCCTCGTAGTCAAACTTGCGGGTTGCGATGTCGTCCTTTTGCTCTCCGATGCCAATCCAGGCAATTCGTCGTAACTTGTCCTCGATTTTTGGTTCATCTGCTCGTACTTTAACAAGGGTAGAATACAGAGTGCTCTGAGCGATGGAAGAAGGGTTTTTCAAGGCCTTCAATGCTGGATTCGATGGCTTCCAGACGCGACAGGATCGATTGCTGAACTTGATCAATCCTAGATATTTCAGCGACCATTTTGTCTAGCGAGGAAGACAGAGCCTTTTCGATTTTTCCACAGCACGTTTCATATGCCTCAATCATCCTTGCTGCCCACAGCGGCATTTCCAGAGCGATGTCCTCTTGCACTGATTTCTTGGCACCTCTAGCCATGTCTACCAATCGATAAAATTGATGCGATTCCGGTGGTCGAGGGTGGTGCGGGCAACAAAAGGTTGAGAGGGAAACCCTCGAACAAAGACTAAACTATTCGCAGAAAACTTATGGCAGGAGGCGGAATAGGACTATTGAGCAGAGTAAGCCAGAAAATCGATTGAACTGGGATAACGATACGTGGTAAGATATAGATATAATGTAGAATTGACAGGAAAAAAAAACGCCGCCGCACAGTGCGTTGCAGACAGATGATGTGATAGGATCTGATT